AGATTCCATAGAGGAGGCGCTGGTTACTCGGGTTACTCGCCTCCGTAGTACCGAACTAGTAGTTGCGCCAGTGCCTTCATTATGGCGTTAATTGGTTATGTCCCGGCTCTTATATCGGCCAGGAACTGGCTGTCGAACTAGATTGCGATGCCTACCAATCTTTGGATGCCATCTGCTGTGTCGGGGCCGGCTCTCAGTATTCTTGTAGATGTATAAGGTACTGGTCTAATGTGTGGTGTCGGTATTTCAATTTTCTTGTGAATAAAGCACGCTCTATGTGCAGAGCGGGCTCCATTTTCTGATAGAACCCTTTCTGGAGCTCTACCCACGTTGATGTCCTTCCTTGTAGTAACCTGCGCTTGGGCTATCGTTAGTATCGTTACCGCTGGGGTCGGGGTAGAAGTGAGTCATCTTCTTAGAGGGTTGCCCCTCGGTGGCATCATTAGCGAGTTGCTGAAGAGTCGCCCTGGTGGTTACCCTAATAGTTACTGGTTCCATCGTCTCTATTGGTGTTACGGGTGAGGGCTGGTTGCCTCTCCTTCCCTCTAATGGTTGCCCGACTCTGCGGGATCCTCTTGGGCTCTTCTGGAAGTAGCCCCGGCAGAGTGATCCCCTGCTTCCTCGCAATCCTCCTCAGGACTAGACATCGTCAATCTTATATAGTTCATTTAGCCGCTCCAGGCTCAGGTTGTCCAGCTGTAGAGGCAAAGTAGAGGCATGCAGGTTTACCTCTACGGGTGTGTGTGTGTGTGTGTGTGTGTGTGGGGAGGGGGTTATTCTTTCATGTATCTGAGAGGAAATCCTTTTGCCCTGATAGCCTCCTCTGTTTGTTGGGTATCTGTGCCCACTGGCAGCCCCCGGGTTCCCACTTAACGGACGAGCATTCGGAGGGTGTCCCAACTTCTTGTCGAGCACCTCAAACAGCTTTGTCCAGTTCGAGAGGCAGTCTAAGGTAATTGGCGTGTGACGTTAATACTGCTAGAGCAGCTGCCAATTGGGCGTAGCTGGTTGAGGGTCTTTAGCCGTCATCCGTTATTAGGCCAGACGGGTTGGTAATGGTAAATGGTTCGCATGTGTAGAAGGCCCCCAGCTATATGACTCTTCGCCTCCCTCTTCATACTCGGCCGTGTCAATGTTGCTCCTACGGTCCGGTGAAATGGAGGGGGTTAGTTTAGGTGGGCTTGGTGATTTTGGTGGGAAATGGTGTAACTTGTACCTACTCGGCGATGTGGTTCCTTTATCATCCGAAGATGATGATGATGAGGATGACGATGTTTGAGTTGGCGATCCTATGCATTGTCTCTTCTCGAAGAGCGATGCCTCAGTTTCCGGGGATGTATGACTTCTTGCCGATTTTTTCCGCTGAGGTAAGGGCGACGGTTCCTGCCCACTCGTATGCTCAGACGCGGTGGGCGTGAACGCAGCTCTCGGTACGGAACATAATGTCTGCCTGAATAAACATGAATGTCTTAAACAATACAACCATTTAGTTCACAAATTAAAACATTTAAGCATAAAGAAAGTAACTTTATTTTCTTATACAATTTTATTATTATTTCGACATTAAATCAATAGAATTACGTGCTTTTAACATAGCTATATAATTCTTATATTATTATTTTATGAAACCTTCCTTTATTGCTACATATATTTTCATACATTATTGAAATGTACATGATAGCAGTTGTCGCTTTAAACAATTAAAATTATTATATTTTGGTACTATAATTCGACTATAAATTTACTATCGTCAATTACCCTTACAAGGTGGACAACCAATTTCTACACGACCCCCCCTTTTTTTGCAGCCAGAAGCAATTGAAAAGGGCTACCCTCCGGAAAGCGAGGAAGGGAGGTGGTGAATGCTCTAAGCATACCACGACAGCCGGCTATCGTGGTTATGTGGGGCTCACTGCGACTAACCTAACCTAAGTGTCTACCCACTAAACACCACCTTTGAGACTGGTATTGGCTTATGAGGTCTTTCTGTTGAATCGAAAGCGACCCTCTTTAGGGAAAAGAGGCCGCAGGCGGCGACGAGCCGCTGAGGGGGAGCCTAACTAAGGCAAATTAAGAAGAATCGGCCTGAGCCGCCAGGAGGCAATTCAGGTCGGCCGAAAGCTTGTTTGACGGGTCGGAGAGAGTTTCTCGGTCTTCGGACTCGATAGCGAGAGGGGAGTGGGGCTGCATATGAAGCTGCCTCACGAATGAAGTGATTAGAGTGAGGCTCTGAGGCTTTGAAGAAGTTCTCAGAGTGTTTTCAGAAATTGGTGGACTGTGGGGAGCTTTAAGTCTCGATGGAGGTCGGCGTTACGGACGTACCAGGGTGCGTTCGTAGCTCGAAGACAGACGAGGTTTTGAACTATTTGGAGTTCGTTAATAATTTTGGGATTAGCGTGGGTAAATATGGGGCCCGCGTAAGTCATGACTGGTCGTATGCAGACCTTATAAAGGGTTCGCTTCTTGTGGAGGGACATATTACTGTGTCGGCCCAGCATACTGTTGAGCCTACTCAGGTAAAAACGTGCGTTGAGGGTTACTCTTTTGACATGGGGCTCGAAGGTGAGCCTCGTGTCTAGGGTGGCACCTAAATATTTGGCGGTCGTATGCCAGGGGACAGGGGTCCCTAGCATACGGATTGGTGAAATGGTAGTGAGGCGGCGTCGTTTATGATCGAAGTGAACGGCGGAGCTCTTCTCCGGGTTCACATCGATGCGCAATTTTTGGAACCAAGCTCTTAAGTCATCAACTGACTTTTGATCTTGTTCTGTATGAAAGGTAGTGAGATACCTTTACATTACAGTAGAGTGCAGTGTCGTCTGCAAAAAGGGAGAGCTGAACACCTTTCGACGGGATGGGAATGTCGTTGGTGAATAGGATATATAGGAGAGGGGCAAGCACTGAGCCCTGAGGGACACCAGCTTTGATGGGGCGCTGAGAGGAGAGCGTGCCTTCGTGTCTACAACGAAAGGTACGATGTTTCGCTCGGAATCCAAATTGGTGAGGGATGACAAGAGGGTCTCCGTCTGTGGGAAACAGATGGAGCCTCATGCGAGTAAGGATCGATCGAAGACTTTGCCCATGGCCTTGAGAAGGCTAATGAGATGATGACTGGAGGCGAGGTTGTGAGGCTTTCCTCGCTTGGGGATACCAATGACAGTTGCCTCTTTCCACGTGGTGGGAAAATAACTAAATGCCTACTGGCAGTTCCCGAGTTCCCACTTAACGGACGAGCATTCAGAGGGTGTCCCAACTTCCTGTCGAGCACCTCAAAGAGCTTTGTCCAGTCCGAGGGGCACTCTACGGTAATTGGCGTGTGACGTTTATACTGCTAGAGCAGCTGCCAATTGGGCGTAGCTGGTTGAGGGTCTTTAGCCGTCATCCGTTATTAGGCCAGACGGGTTGGTAACGGGCGAAGGTGGTGTTCTTCCGGCAGATGGGGCTAGGGTCGCATATGTAGAGGACCCCCAGCTATATGACTCTTCGCCTCCCTCTTCATACTCGGCCGTGTCAATGTTGCTCCTACGGTCCGGTGAAATGGAGGGGGTTAGTTTAGGTGGGCTTGGTGATTTTGGTGGGGGTGGTTTGTACCTACTCGGCGATGTGGTTCCTTTATCATCCGAAGATGATGATGATGAGGATGACGATGTTTGAGTTGGCGATCCTATGCATTGTCTCTTCTCGAAGAGCGATGCCTCAGTTTCCGGGGATGAAAATAACTATGGTTGAGGCAGGCGTTGAAGATAATAGCTAAAAAGGTTAACACCTGCTCAGAAAAATGTTTAAGGGCTTGGTTGGAGATGCCATCCGCGCTCGGAGCTTTTTTGGGCTTCAGTCCTTTGATGAGGGATGAGATCTCATCATTGGACACAGTGATAGGGTCAAAGGCTATGGGGGGTGAGTTCCGGCGGCGGACCTCATCCTCCACTGTCTAGATGTGGGAGGGGTTGGTGGGTTTAGAGCTAGGAGAGCATTGTGTGGCAATGCTGTCTGCAAAGCACTCAGCCTTTTCCACGTCCTCGAAGGCAACCGTACCGTCGGGACGGGAGAGAGAGGTAGTGTTGGTGATAGCTTCTATGCGGAGGGCTCTCGCCATCTGATAGTACACTGTATGAGAGGGAGAGATATTCTCGATGAGATTACTCTTTTGGAGGTCTCGAAGTTCGGAGAGGCGGAAACGGACTTATCGTTGAGACTCATACAATTATTAAAAAGCGTTGGTACGCAGTATTTGATCGTAGCCGAGTTTTTCTCCATGATAAAATTTTAGAAGGTCGACCATTAAATGCGGTCATGTCAAACCTCTCATCAAATCTTGATTGAGAGACGAAATTCAAATTAGCAATAATTTGTATGGGCCAAATTAAAAAAAATTGACATCAAAATTTAAAAGTTTGTTGCCGCTAGAATCCTCGACGATTGGTGTGAAAAATAATGTTAAAGTATGATCAAGGACGTCCAAAAGCTATGTATGACATTATGACCGCGTGAAAGAAACCAACAGTTATGACTTCTGAAAATATGAAAAATTTTAAAATTTTGTTAGGTTTGACATTTACTTATCCAAAAAAATGCCGTAATAGCTTTCAACCACCACGTTTACAACATCAGCCTCAGCCCGCAGACAAATGGCAAAGAAAATATACACTACGCGAACCAATGGTCCTTATATTTCCAAATAATTTTTTACCGAATGAAAAAGTATTTAAAATGGAATGGAGAATACTTTGAAAAGCAGGAAATATATGACTTTACTTAAAAATTGTTTTATTTTTGAGTTACGCAAAACTATCAGCGAACCCCATGTTTATTAAGTTAAAACTATGAAAACAAAATATAAGTTAGTAAGTAATTAACTAATAGTTTAAACACTTAGGCATTATCGTCATAATAAAACCATCGATATCATTCAACTTAAACTATATTAAATATTAATAGTACCTAATATCTAAAGTTAATGATTTTATGTAGATTTTAAGTAACCTACGTACCAAGGAAAATTAGCTTTGTGGATGCACCTTATTTTTATCAAATAATAGATTTCTAGCTCTGTTTATTTCTTTGTTGATTAATATTTGCATTAAATTCGCTACATTGTTATCATTTGGTACTTGTAAACTTTGCGGTGTAATAATATTATTACTTGGCGAATTTAATTTCCTAGATATAGTATTATTTTTGGTTGTGCTTCCCATGTGAAACCTTTTAGCTCTTGATATTTTATAACATTTTAATCGGTGTGCTTTTTCATTACCAGTTGTCATTATATATTCATACGTAGTTAAACCTAAAATCGCTATATAAACATGAAAACAAATCAAGTGTATTAAAGCACAGCTTATAGCTAGTGCACTTATAAAAATTATTAATAAAAGTGATAAAAATGCAATAGAATTCTTGCAGAATTTTACAATATCTTGTGACTGTATTGATGAAGTACAATTTATAAAATTTTGTGCTTGCATACTTAACAATTGTGGATAAGTAAAAAATAAAATAACGTCAGTTACACATAAACACGCGGTTAATAGAGCTATTAACGCTGACGTAATCACACAAATAATAAAAACAGCATAGTTCCTCTGACCGATGCAGTTATTCAGCCATTTACAATGGTGGTCGAAACGGTAAACACATTTGTTACAAATGCCGCAATGTTTTGTTTTTTTATTGCTGGTATATATATTGCATAGATGACACCTTCCGTTTTCAATAACATGAGCGTGAATCGAACGGTCAAATTCTGGAATATCATTTACTTCACGTTTTCTTAGTTCTTCTTCCGCGGGATCAAGAAGTATTGCAATTATATGGGAAATTATATGAGATATGTACAAAATAACATAGAATGTAAACGATATCACTTTTAGTTCAAAAAACTGGATTTGTACCACGAAAAGCAAATTGATTATGGCAGTAATAATAAAAATTATCCAAGCGCTTATTTGATGGTAATTTAATGGTGGCTCAAAACCATTAATTCTTCGATGGGTTCGCTGTGTTTCACCAGAAGTACAGCATTTATCCATTCGACCATGGAAAGTTCTATTGTTTCCTTAAAAATGTGTTTGCTCTTATTGATCTGTGGTTTGCTCTGACCTGTTAGATGATACACAGCGGAGTTGCGCGCGCACTTTTACAACAGATACTACAACATCTAGGTATATTTTATCCGCTACAGAAACAACAAATATTGTACTAATTAAATACCATTTTGTTTTTTTAAGATTCGTTACCATTGTGGCATTCACTTGGCGCGGAGTATCACTAGACACACGGCATTGTATCAACAAATTTCGGAAAAGAAAAGGGCGACCCACCGGCAGTGTGTTATATTATAGTCCCTCTTCACATTCGTGCATATTCGTAAATTATCGGTACACGCGATTGTGGCGATGATGGCCCAAGCTGTGTTCGCCTTTTTCTAAACTAGACTAAAATTTCAAATTTCATGAATAAATATTTTGCAGTTCTTGAAGACTAAAAAGTGACATTTTTAACACTCACTGTTCTCACTAATTAATTAAAATAGAGCAAAACGGGCGACTGGCGGACCAGAGGGGAGTTGAGTCATAACGTTTTTTCCTGATTTTTTGCGGGGGGAAATCTGTGCACATTAAAACAATTGTTTGTCACTACGAAACACATCACAATTAAAACAATAAAGGTACTAACATATACATAGAGAAATAGAGAATGGACTGTGCGTTCCGTATTCAGTTGTGCACTGAATACAAAACGGAAAGTGCGAGAGAGACAAGGTAAATGTGCGGCCAGTAGTAGAATTCTCTTTCTAGAATTGTGATTGGTCCACGTGACTGGCTTGCAAGACGTGAACCAATCAGGCTTGCAGGAAAGAGACAGGTATTGGCCGCACAGTCGCTTTGTTTCTTTATAGAGAATGGTCACTTTTGTGAGGCTAATGCTTAGTCCATTTTCTATGTCCATGTGTACTAACAATATCACACACATTACAACACTATAACATTATAATGGTCCCCACTCACGGTCAGTTAAACTGACATCAGTTCAACTGATCATTTCAAACGGATTTAATCCAAAAAAAATTCAACACACACGGTCGGTTCAACTGATCATTCCAACTGATCAGTTCAAACTAGGGCTGTTGATAATTTTAAAATATGGGATTTTCAATATATCGATAATTATAAATATATCAATATCGGAGTTTTATATATCGGAAACATAAGCGATATATTGATGCTTATTGCTTAAAAATGATTCACACAGTTTATAACTTAGTATATTTATTAAACAAATTTAATTATAAATGTATGAAAATGTTAGGTTATAGTTCTTAGTAATTATTTTACTAAGAACTATAACCTAATTATTAAAGAGCCATGGTAGCTCAGATGGTTAGCGCTCGCTGTAAATTTCACAGTACGCATGCAACCCGAGTTCGATCCCCGCCGGCACCAATGAAATTGTTAATTGCAATTTTAAATGCTGATTTGCCACGTGCTCGGCGATGAAGGAAAACATCGTGAGGAAACCTGCATGTCTGAGAAATAAAATAAAAATTTCAGAAAACGTGAAGTTCGCCAACACGCATTGGGGCAGCGCGGCGGACGTTGCCCTAAAACCCTCTCAGAAGTTAGGAGAGGCCTGCCCAACTGAGGAGTGCCCAGCATTGGGACGTATATAGGCTATAACTTTAACTTGAATTATTGTTTAATTTAAATAAGACAATTATGTTTACCAATATTTGTCAGTAAGAGTTTTCAAAAATACCCGTTGTTTTATATGTTCAGCTGTTTCAATACTCCAATTATTGGGCACTAAAGGATTAATTGTAGAAGTAATTCGTTCAGATGCTTTGGATGCAGCTGAAGAAATCAAGTATTTAACAGCTATTTCTGATAGCATTTCGTGCTAATTCTTCTTCCGTGTAAATCATAACACGCCTAAGCGATTAAAATAATTTGAGGCTTATACCAACATCGAAGCACTTATTTCGTCGTTTTCTCTAATAGCTCACATGTGCAGACACTTAATACACATAATCGCATCACTTTGATAAAAATCTACTTCAAACGATTATTTAAACGATAAAACAGTAGCAACCATCCGTCAATGGTCAAGCTCCTGCCCAAACTCACAGTAAGTAAAGTAGTACTAAGTTTCATAGATTATAGTGATTTTAATATCATAGAGATATACTTTACAACATTACATTTCTTTTTAAGATAATAAGCAAATAAGTAAACTGGGGCAAAATGAAAAACATTATATAGTGTATAGTAGATTGGGTTCATCAAGAATTAGGATTTAAGTTTACGATGGTGTTGTAGATTAAATGATTTACGTGAAAAAATAATAAATTGAATTATTTTAAAAAATATATCGACTGCCGTACATCTATATTTCAATATCAAACTTATATTTCAATATATGTCGTCAAAAATATTAAAAATAAATATCGATATTTCTAAATAATAATATAGATTTTTCGATATATCGATATTTTATCAACAGTCCCAGTTCAAACGTGGGGCGTGGCCGTGGGCGTTTGGTTTGCATGACTCCTATAAAATATCATATAGGTATATAGATAAATTAAATGATATTTAATAATACCTAAATCTTATTTCATAGCATTTCCTGACTATTAATATATATCTAATCTCCGTATCGGCTGAACTGATTTTGACGAGACTTTCAGTGGCAGATAACTGATATTATATGGAGGAACTTAGGCTAATTTTAATTTAGAAAAAGAATTAGGGTTCCGTGCAAAAAAATTAAAACCCATGAAATCAAATCGTAATAAATTACACGCGGGCGAAGTCGCGGGGAACAGCTAGTTAATAGATAGGGAATGATATTTTTAATTTATAGGAGTCACGCCAACTAAACGCGCACGCCTGCGGCGTCATCGGTCGAGAATTGTATTCCGTTCCGTGTATATGTATTATAAATAACGTTTCCTATATATTAAAACTTCAAAAGATATTTTTATTCATGATAAGGTCAGTATTAAGACACTTAAGAAATGGGTCAGATATTTGATAATTTTACTCATTATGGTAAATTTTATTTAATAAATGTGTTATTTATTTTTATCTGTTTATTAAATAACCTATCTGTAGAGCGGGCGAAACCCCACTGATACTAACTTGCACTCCGGTTACGGTGAACCCAAAAAAATCCGTGGGCATGGGCACAATCTGAAGGTCTTATGATGACCAGATAATGCTTATCGGTTTTCAGTAACGGAAATAGTTAGGATGGCCTAGCTTTCTATGTTTATCTAATTGAGCTCTCGACGTGTTACATACTAAAATAAAGTTGAGGCACCTAAACGTCACGAATTAAAATAAGTTAAACAAAATAAAATCCGTAAAGTTTGTTTTATTAAATGTGTAGTATTCGTGTAATAAATCAGTCAAAAATCATTGAATTCTAAATACTGCTTACAGGTAACTCGGTCATTTATAGGAATTGGTGTTAATGGTGTTTGTAGGTTTTCTTGAAGTACGCAGATATTTTCGTCTTCTGGTTGTAGTTGGTTATGCTTTTTCCGTTCTGCCTTTTTTTTATTGCCTGTAAAATATATGGTCGATTTCTAATTTTATACCTACTTAGGAGTTTTGCTGCTTTTTAATTGCCTGAAAACATTATAAAGTGAGTAATAATACTCTTTGTACTATTTATTTTATTTATATTATTTGTGTAGGTACTTCTTGAGCCCTTTGAAATGAGCCCAAACACGATGGTGTTTCGTAGTGGCATAACTGAGATCTTTTACCACACCTTCTTAGTCGACCATCATGAAGGTAATATAATCACATTGAACTAGATCTTTATAAACCCTTTCAAATGAGATCAAACACGATCGTTCTACCTAGTGCTGCCACCGATATCCTATATCCACCTTCGGATTGCACCATCAGAAAGGTGAGGTCATAACAGTCACCTAGGTCTTTATGAGTCCTTTCAAATGAGTTCAAACACGATCGTTTTATCTAGTGCCGCCACTGAGATCCTATACCCATCTTCGGATTGCACCATCAGAAAGGTGAGGTCATAACAGTCACCTAGGTCTTTATGAGCCCTTTCAAATGTGTTCAAACACGATCGTTCAATGTAGTGCCGCCACTGAGATCCTATATCCACCTTCGGATTGCACCATCAGAAAGATGAGGTTATAACAGTCACCTAGGTCGTTATGAGCCCTTTCAAATGAGTTCAAACACGATCGTTCTATCTAGTGCCACCACTGAGATCCTATACCCACCTTCAGATTGCACCATCAGAAAAGGTGAGATCATAACAGTCACCTAAGTCTTTATGAGCCCTTTCACATGAGTTCAAACACGACCGTTCTATCTAGTACTGCCACTGAGATCCTATACCCATCTTCGGATTGCACCATCAGAAAGGTGAGGTCATAACAGTCACCTAGGTCTTTATGAGCCCTTTCAAATGTGTTCAAACACGATCGTTCAATGTAGTGCCGCCACTGAGATCCTATATCCACCTTCGGATTGCACCATCAGAAAGGTGAGGTCATAACAGTCACCTAGGTCTTTATGACCCCTTTCAAATGAGTTCAAACACGATCCTTCTATCTAGTGTCATCACTGAGATCCTATACTCACCTTCGGATTGCACCAACATAAAGGTGATATCATAACAGTCATCTAGGTCTCCATTTACCTATTTGAAAATGAGTTCAAACACGATGGTTCTACGTAGTAGCATCACTGAGACCCTTTACCCACCTTCTGAGTCTACCATAAGAAAGGTGACATCATTACCATCACCTTGGTCTCCATCCTCTGTCAAACCAACTTCTCTAAATATATAAAATAATATAAATCTAAACAGCATACAAATAATCTTATAAAAAAAATATAAAATATAAATAAAAGCTACTAAGAAAGTATGTACTTACCAATAATGGAAAAGAACTGAAGCCAGCGGATTACGGTGCGCCCGGAAAAATCCGTGTGTTGTCTTTAGTTAAAAATTTCAACTTAAGATTTCACATTCACGGTCAGTTTTTGGATGTACGTCAGTTAATCTGTTCAGTTTAACTGACCGTGAGTGGCCACCATTACACTATCGCTCGGTGACGCGACAGCTCGGATAAAGACTAGAAGGGCGAGCGGCCTGTATTGGTAAGCAAATCCGAAACAACACGACCGTTATTATTGTAGTTTTTAATAGGGATGCAATAGTTTCTAATCGATGGCGAAATAATCGGTTATTTGATAATCGATTAATTCAATTGTGCCGATATCAATTGATCGATTCATCGCAATCATTACATCGATTAATCGAAGAAATGTTCTAGGCTTTTCGTTAAAATAGATTAGATAGATGCTGCCATATGTGAAATACTGTATTCTCGGTAAATTTACACAATAAAATTATCCAGCAAATAAACTTTCATCTATTGATATAAAAAAAAATAGAAAAATGAGAACCAGTCAGCCCATTTCTAATGTCAGTAGCGATCAGGCCAGCCTTTGAAAAAAGTCTTTTAGAAGACACCAATGTTGAAACAACGGGTCTGGCCACCTAATTTTGTTAAGGGTATCAAAAGATTGTATAAAAAATTACGAATTCAACGGTATTCTTATTTTTTTTTCTACCTTACAAATGTCTGAAATATTGGTGAGTAAAGTGGTGTTTTACGGTAAGGGCGACCGCTTTGCTCCGCATGGCGATGTGACGTCACAAATCGACACGTCAAAGCCACCAGTAGTCTTTATTGTTATATTTTTCTTATTCTATCCATATTTACTACTCCATATTTTTCTTGTCATGTTATTTATTTATCAGTAACCTTTATTTTCTGTTTTTTAATTTTTTATTTCTGTTATATCACGCTCCTTGGGAATAAAAGTCCGATATGAGAAGATAAAATCCTGTAGATCAAGTTATACCTTAACGCAAAATTTCATCAAAATCAGTTTAGTATTACACGCATTGAATGTTTGCGACCATTGCATTTTCAAAACAGAATAGGTACCAACTACCAACGTAATACCGCAATCAGTTTATTCAAAAGTAAGTCAAAGTAAAACTAGGACCATATGTTTGCAACCACTGACGAACTACGTAACCAACAAAATTTCTTCACGTGTCACTGGGTACTAAATAACAGTACGAGTTGATTAATACTCACTAAGTAAGTTTAAGTGGGTTTTTTCATTTTATGTCGTTGTAAATCATTTGCAACTTAATGGTTCGGTCAGTTAATACCTACCTATGTATTACTGCCTAGTTACTAATCAACGGTTAAGCTGTATACTTTTCGTAATCTTTTATTAGTAACTTACCTTTAGAGCTTTATTCCATGCATTTCTGATGATAAAAAATCATAATTTTCTGAAAAATACTGCGCAACCATAAAAATATCCACTTTTGGCAGATTAGCTGACAGTCTTTTTTCAAAGCCCGCTTCCATTTTCTTTTTTATACAGCACTTGACTATACATATAAATATAATCATATAAAAGCTAAATGTTCAATCAAGATATATAAATCAAATCAAATAGTTCGTTTGTGATTCACAGTTTAAAAAAAAAGTTTTATTTAAACACAAATAAAGTTCAGTCTGTGATCAGCCTCGTGGGCATACAAATGTCAAATATTATTAATAGTTCATTGATCACATTATTCATAATAATAGATTAGATTATTAGATTAAATTATTCATCTTAAATAATATTGATTACACTGGATTAGATTATTCATATAAGATTAGATTATTCATAAATTATTTGTTCAAAATTATTATATAGTCGTTGGGTTTATTATAAGTATTGTTACGCGCCACTATTAATGTCTTGTACATGGCAACATTAGTTACACTAGCACCCTCTAGTGTCGAGTAAAAGAAAGTGTTGCGCGCCACTATTAATGTTTTGTGCCATGTACAAAACACTAGTTACACTAGCGCCCTCTAGTGTCGAGTAGCAGAACTAGGAGAGTCGAGATCCTTCCAGAAATTTCGGGACCGATATGTACTCGAACATTCTAGATGTCGCTACAGTGAAAGGTTCTGGAAACTGTCTGAGGCCCGTCTGTATATAAGGCCGGTATGGACCACGACCAGGGCAGTATTGAATTGGCGATAAAAGAGAATACTTCGAAGCGAAATAACGGCGAACTGTGTTTTATTATTAGTGTGATTTTAGATTGTAATTAGTGTTGTGTAATTAAAGTGTCAATTTTGGTAATTCAATCGGCAGTTCAAGAGACAATTAAAATTGTCTCGAACCCCAATCTCGTAACAATTGGTGTCAGAAGTGGGATCAAATATGCCGATTTTACCTAAAGACGACACGGAGGGTATCCGTACCCGAAGTCAACGCCAACAGGAGACGGACCGGACTGATAACCACGGAGGCCGGCCCGTCAGCAGCTCCTGCATCTGCAGCACCTGACTTAGGTGCTCTGATGATGATGTTGCAGGATCAGGCTCGCCGACAGGAGGAACAGACCCGTCGGTTGGAAGAGCAGCTGCAGCGCGGTATGGAAGAACAGATGCTCCTCAGGAAGGACCTTCACGCTACCTTCGGGAAAGAGATAAAGGAGGTGAAGGTAGGGTTGCTCAACATGACAACCGCCTGTCGGAAGCTGAAACCCGAATCGACCAAGTGAACAATCGGGTTGATAACGTGGTGGCTGATGTGAAGAATACGCTGGACGACCTCAAACTTGGGGATGGAATTACAGTTCCCGTGGTAGCTACAACACCTTCGCTACGTGGATTCAAAGTGCCGCCGTTCGACGGGAGTTCTTCCTGGTCGGCCTACAAAATCCAGTTCGAGGCTGTCATGAAAGCTTACGGCTGGAATAAAAGTCAGGCCATGACTGCTCTCACCATAGGCCTACGCGACCAGGCCTTAACTGTTCTGGAAGCTCTCGGTAAGGAAGTGACTTACGAGCAGCTCCTTGAGGCATTGGAGGCGAGATATGGCGATGCTCACCTGGAACACGTCTTTCGTGCGCAGCTCAAAGATCGCGTGCAACGCAGTAACGAAAACCTGCAGCAGTGGGCCCTTGAGGTGGAGAAGCTGGTTCGAAAAGCGTACCAGTCTGTACCTGTGCTCATTGTAGGGAACCTGGTGCAGACATTCATCGACGGCATCCGCGACCTTGAAGTCAGAGCTGCTGTGAGGCTCGGGCACCACGAGACGCTTAAGGACGCCTTGACCCATGCACTGGAGGTGGAAGCCGTGCGGCAGGATCATCGTTCCCACCGCGTCAGGGAGGTTGCAGCAGCTACAGTTCAGGACCGCAATAAGGGCTACAGCCCTAGGTGCTACGGCTGTGGGGAAAGGGGCCATCTTCGATCCAGCTGCCCTAAACGAACTGTAGAAAGGGAAGGTGATCGATCTCGAGAGGGTAGTGCGGATAATAGCACCGCCCAGCAGCAGCAGGGAAACGAGTAAAAGCCAGGACTGCGGGGCGGGTGCTGGCTGATGTTAAAAGAGCCCCAAGGATTTCGATCTCACAAACCCACGATGGGAACAGCCTAATCATCAAGGGCGAAGTCAACGGAACGCCGTGTAAACTGACCATAGACACTGGAGCCTCTCGCACGGTTGTCAGTTCCCAACTTATAAGTCGGTTCCTTGGGGACTCCGCATACAACCGAGAACGCATTAATTTGGTGACAGCCACCGGTCAGCGCATACCCGTCCATGGAGAGAAGGAGATGGAGTTGAAGCTAGGCAACATGATCTACCTGCATAATGTCATCGTGGCTGATATAATGGACGACTGCATCCTGGGCCTAGACTTTATGAGGAAGAATTGTTGTGAGATCGACGTTAAGCGTTTTGAAATGTGGACAAGAGGAACTTTTCGTGGAAGGGGCGTTACCAGGGAATGTGTACAGCCTTAAGAAGATTGTTCTTCCGCCGAGATCGGAAACGATTGTGCCGGTTAGACTTCCACGGAATCCTGGGCAAACTCTTCGTTGTGTACTCGTGGAAAGGGTAGACAATGACCTTCCATGGAAAGTGGCTCGAACCTTGGTCAGAACCGCCGACATCTCAGGAGTACGTGTGCTGAACCTTTGTGATCAGGAACAGATTATAGAAAAAGGCACATTGGTTGGTACTAGTGAGGAAGTGGATTGGTTGCGTCGGTGCGAATATCTATCGACAAGGATGGACAAACTAGAGTGACCACACTTTTAGAAGACTGTCGCAGCGTTCTCTCCCCGAATGAAACGGTCAAAGCGAAGAAGTTGTTACTTAAGTACGCCAATGTTTTCTCGTCAAACGAAGCTGACATAGGAAAGACTGGCTTAGTTCAACACAAAATAAACACAGGACAAGAATTGCCTATTCGTCAGCGGCCAAGAAGATTGCCTGTAGCACGTGAAAAGGAAGTGGAAACCATGATTGAGAGAATGGTGAAGGATGGTGTTATTGAACCTTCATCTAGTCCATGGTGTGGTGCTGGTAAAGAAGAAGGACGGCAGCATGCGGTTTTGTGTTGACTACCGCCGCCTGAACGACGTTACAAAGAAGGACAGCTATCCCTTGCCAAGAATTGATGACACGCTGGACATGCTTACAGGCGTAAAGTGGTTTAGTACGCTGGATCTGAAAAGTGGCTACTGGTAGGTTGAAATTGACCCTAAGGACAAGGAGAAAACTGCATTCTCCAAAGGAAAGGGCCTGTAGCAATTTAAAGTCATGCCGTTTGGATTGTGCAATGCTCCAGCAACGTTTGAAAGATTGATGGAGCTTGTACTTACCGGGCTAATTGGAGATGCCTGTCTGGTCTATTTGGATGACATCATCATCGTAGGCCGTACGTTTGAGGAACACTTTCAAAACCTGGAACGCGTGCTCATGAAGATCCAGAGTACCAATCTCAAGTTCAGTCCAAAGAAGTGCTCACTATTCAAACGGCAAGTTAGCCTTTTGGGGTATGTAGTGTCGGAAGAAGGTATCCGCACGGATCCAGAGAAAATTGCTGCTGTCAAGGAGTGGCCGGTCCCAAAAGACAAGACACAGGTTAGAGCATTTTTGGGTTTGTGCTCTTATTATCGGCGATTTGTGAAGAACTTTGCAGATATAGCCAAACCTCTGCACGATGAAAGTTGCAATATTGCATTCCAGGAGCTCAAGAACCGTCTGTGCAAAACACCTGTTTTGGGGTACCCTAATGCGGGCAAGGAATTCATAGTTGACACAGACGCAAGTGATATAGGACTTGGCGGTGTGTTGTCTCAACGGAATGGTGATCAAGAGATTGTGATAGCGTACTTCAGCAAGTCGTTGTCAAAGCCGGAAAGGAACTATTGTGTCACAAGACGGGAATTGCTTGCTGTGGTAAAGTCCTTGTAGCATTTTAGCAAATATCTTCTAGGGTGGAAATTCCACTTACGAACTGACCATGCTGCACTGAAATGGCTATTGCAGTTCAAAAATCCGGAAGGACAATTTGCGTGATGGATTGAACTACTGCAGGAATAGGACTTTGTGATCGAACATCGCAGCGGGAAATCTCATGGCAATGCAGATGCATTGTCAAGAAGACCTTGCCCTGAAGATTGCAAGCATTGTACTAGGCAAGAGGGTAAGGAAGTGGTATCTGTGAGAATGGTCAGGACAGATCAGCTCAGCAATGAGTGGAAGGACAGCCTACAACATGCACAGCAGGAAGATTCGGACATTAAGCCGATTCTGGAATGGATGAAGGCCAGTGCTCCTAAGCCCAAGTGGAGCGACGTCCCAGCAATGAGTTCGATCACGAATAGCTATTGGGCCCAATGGGACAGCTTGCTGATTCAGGAAGGAGTCCTGTGCCGTAAATGGGAAAATGGTCGGGGAGACAGGTGTCATTTGCAAATGGTTGTCCCTAAGGCTAAAGTGCCGGATATTCTACAGCTGTACCATAGTGGTTGTTCAGGAGGCCACCTGGGAGTTAAACGAACTCTCCTGAAGATCCGAGAACGGTTTTACTGGGTCCACTGTCGTGACGATGTCGAGGACTGGTGCCGCAAATGTACAAGTTGTGCGGCTGTAAAGGGACCTCAAATTCGTAGTAGAGGCGCATTGAATTGTACAATGTTGGTGCACCATGGGAGAGGATGGCCATAGACGTTGCGGGGCCGTTTCCAGAAACTGAAAGTGGTAACAAGTATTTCATGGTTGTGATGGATTACTTCACTAAGTGGCCAGAAGTCTGCGCCATTCCAAATCAAGAAGCTTCAACCGTTGCAGATAAACTAGTTCATGAAGTCTTCTGTCGTTTTGGAGTACCTTTAGAGATTCACAGCGATCAAGGAAGGAATTTTGAGTCTCAAATATTCCAGGAAACTTGCCGAGTTATGGGTATTCAGAAAACACGAACAACTTCTTACCACCCACAATCTGATGGAATGGTAGAAAGATTTAATCAGACATTGGAGAGGTACTAAGCAAAAGTTGTGGAAAAACGGCAACGAGACTGGGACAGGCACATACAACCATTTTTGTTGTCATATCGAAGCGCTGTTCACGAAAGTACATCAGTGACACCAGCTTTCGTAAACTTTGGGAGAGAATTGCGGCTGCCTGCAGACCTGGTCACCGGAATACCACCTGATGCCCCACGCAGTATAACCGATTATGCAAATGACTTGCGGAACAAAATGAATGACATTTATGAGCACGTCAGACAGACGGGCCAGCAAACGTCTGAGAAGATGAAAACACGGTATGACCGCAAAATGAACAACAAGGGGTTTGATGAAGGTTCACTAGTGTGGTTACACAATCCAGTTCGCAGCAAAGGGAAATCTCCTAAGCTTCAAGCTAAATGGGACGGACCGTACCGGATTGTGACAAGGATCAATGACGTAACCTACCGGATACAGAAACTGGCTGGCTGGCGCGTTATTATGGGGCCAATAATGCTCGGGACGAGCATGTCTTAGGAGGGGGCAGTGTTACGCGCCACTATTAATGTCTTGTACATGGCAACACTAGTTACACTAGCGCCCTCTAGTGTCGAGTAAAAGAAAGTGTTGCGCGCCACTATTAATGTCTTGTACATGGCAACACTAGTTACACTAGCGCCCTCTAGTGTCGAGTAAAAGAAAGTGTTGCGCGCCACTATTAATGTCTTGTACATGGCAACACTAGTTACACTAGCGCCCTCTAGTGTCGAGTAGCAGAACTAGGAGAGTCGAGATCCTTCCAGAAATTTCGGGACCGATATGTACTCGAACATTCTAGATGTCGCTACAGTGAAAGGTTTTGGAAACTGCCTGAGGCCCTATATAAGGCCGTTATGGACCACGACCAGGGCAGTATTGAATTGGCGATACAAGAGAATACTTCGAAGCGAAATAACGGCGAACTGTGTTTTATTATTAGTATGATTTTAGATTGTAATTAGTGTTGTGTAATTAAAGTGCCAATTTTGTTAATTCAATCGGCAGTTTTTTATTGTCTCGAAACCCAAGCTCGTAACAGTATTATGTCATGTAATACAGTCAACCGGACATTAACCCTGACATTCGATTATGTAGGTAAACGACCGTATACTTCCGAACGCGCGGTTGGTACTGAACTTAGCAAGTACCTACTGCGCGTTCGATCTGTTGGATTGTGACGTCACGTCACAGAGAACGAGCGGGTAAAAATTAAAAAAAATTGCGAAACTTCAAAACGTTATAACTTTCGTATTTCTGCACCAATTTGGATGAAACAAAAACTATTATTATTTTCATAAACATAGCTTTAAAGCTATATAGGTTTTATTGTTAAATTAGAACATGTTGGTGTGACCCAATGACCCTTTGCAACAAATAAAACTTCCAAACTAAAACCACGAACAAACAACAAAACAAACTAACAAAACCACAGATTGTTGTTGTCGAATGAAACGTCAATCTCTTTTGTTCTATTTGAAGAGTGTGGAAATGTTATCACTTTTATCTAATATCGCAAAATATTGATTAATGGGCATAAAATAATCGATAGAATCGATTATTTCAATTTTAGATTAATCGATCAAATTGCAATAATTTCATTAATCGATCATTCGATTAATCGAACCGATATCGAACATCGCTAGTTTTTAAGTTTTAAAATAATTAAATAGTAATAATGTGATTAAAACTTATATACGAAAGGTACCGCCCTCTTCTTGTAGATTTGACGAGGCAGATCTCTTTTTTTGCGACGTTGATTCCGCCGCGCAGCTAGATTTATTCTAGTGTGTACGGGTGCAGAAGAAACAGCGTTGGTGATAGCACGCAGGCTTGTGGAACACCAGCGTTAATAGGCTTGTAGTCGGATCATGCACCGTCTACTACGACCTTGATGCTCCGATCTGCAAGACAGCTGGTGATCCAATTGCACAATTTCTCGGGAAGCCCATAGGAAGGACCCGAAAAGACGTATTAGAACCGGTGCTAACTCTGGAGCACACGTCCTCAGCACAATTGGCGGATTCCGTCCAGGCCCACTCGACTTGTGGATGTCCAGGGAGAGGAGTGCTTTGAGAACCGAGCGCTGTAAGAACTGTACATCCGGCATGGAGCACTCACATTGCAGGATGGTCAGCGGTGTGTTCCCACCGTCATCAAGAGTCGAGTTGCACGCAAAAAGGAAGCCTAAAAGGTCGGCTTTCTCTTTTGCGGCGTGGGCCAGTGAATCGTCCTTCCTGTGCAGAGATGGTAGTGATGGCTTATAGAAATGCCCTTGGACAGCCTTGGCGAGAGACCAGAATGCACGGGTTCCCGAAGGAAGGCGAACGAGTTTCTCGCCAGTTCTGCTTATGTGCTGACTTTGCCTTGGCAATAACTCTTTTGAAGGACCTGGAGGCGAAGTTATACTTCTTATTAAGCGCGCTGGTGTTTATATCCCGAGCCGCCGAAACCCCAGCCCAGGTTTGATAACACCTGCTTACTGCGTAATGCAGTCTTATAGGAGCAACCAAACCAAGGCTGAGATCTGCCTCCGATAGGTACTACAGATACGACAGAGTCAGCAACAGCGTTGAGATCATCCGGCAAGAAGCAAACCCGCCCCCATGGGTAGGATGCAAAGAAAGGCCGCATTCCGTCCCAACCCGCCGACCTGTAATGCCAAACACGGTGGCAACCTGCAGAACACAACCGCGAGGGGAGCGTGAGTGGCACCACACTCCGGATCAGACAATGGTCCGAACAGCCGAGAGGGGAACATCAACCTAAACCTGATATCTGTCCGGATGAGAGGTCAGCAGAAGGTCCATCAGGGAAGGTATATGATCGTCCACATCTGGAATCCGCGTAGGCGCAGTAACCAGTTGTGTCAGACCATATGCCAAGGCAAAGTCATAAACAGCTCTCCGCACGTGATCGGTTAAACGTGAACCGAGCCATTCGGCGTGGTGAGCGTTGAAATCGCTAAGGATCACGATCTCTGCGGATGGGACCTGTTGTAGCAAGGAATCTGTAGCCATTTGGACGTAGTCGATAAGTCTGTCTGTTTCGGCATTACCCCTATGGGACCTATAGAGGCACCCGTAGACGCGCGGATGGTCGTTGCTGTCTACGCGTAGCCAAAGGATGGACAAGTCCAAACCTTCAAGACTGCCGAGGCGTCGAGGACAGATCTCGCTAGACAAATAGTGCATAACTATGGTACTTGTAGATTACAAGGGTAATAATTTACTACCAAAGTCGATTACGCTAAGTTTTTCCTTTTTTTTACGCAGTGGTGTCGATTACGCCAGTGCTTATTTAGAATCGCAAAGGGTAATTTGAAACTTGCAGGTGACCTCTACACACATTTGTATTTACTGACACTGACACGGTTTATTTCACGTCGCGGCAAATCTACTGAAATATTTTCAGACAACGTTAGGAACTTCGTAGGTCAAATGAACAAGTTTCACTAGTTTTTTATCAAACTGTTAGGCTACCACTTTTGGCTCGAATCGTCGACGACCAAGTCCTTTCCGATCGGCTCGATTCATTGGCACTGCGAAGAGATGTTGCATCCCTTTGCATTTTCTTTCGCACTTTACCATGGGGAGTGCTCTCAGGAGTTGTTCGGATTAATCCCAGCTGCCAAATTTCACGAACGCACATCGCGGCAAAATCGCCATCCACACCATCTGGATGATTGGCGATCCACTACCGTGCACTGTACATTTAGAAGATATTTTCTTCCAGGCGTAAAAAAAATTGTACTCTTTACCTACAGTTCGCGTCTGGACAGTGGCATCAATGGTACCTCACTGCGGGACCTCTATGTCGGAGGTTCGTATCACAAATAAGGAGGTTCTTAAAACCTTGCGGTGTCTAGACGTGTATAAAGCTGGTGAACCAGATGGTATACCAGCTATAGTTCTAAAGGCTTGTGCA